CCCCCCTCCCCCCCAATCCTCCGCTTCTTAGGCTGAATGAGCCATTCGGTCGCTAGGAGGCAGAACAAGATCAAGAAAGCTCAGCGAACTTGAACCTGTACCAGAGCCTCCCCCACTCCCTGCTTTGCGTTTCTCGGCCGGGGAGGGACGAGCTTTGCGAGGGTGGGGGTGGGGGAAACGGACGGTTAGGCAGAATTCCCTTTCTCCCCCCATCACCCCTTATGTCTTTGTTCTTCATTTTGACTTTAAAAATGCTTCTGGCCGGGGCTGCGGAGAAGCGCTCGGGAGCGCGGCCGACAATCCCGTGCGCCGGGCGCGGAGTGGGGTGCAGTTTTCGCTTTCTTTCGGGGCGGGCATTTTTGGTAGGGGGAAAAGGGGGGTACGCACTCTCCGCCTTCGAGGCAAGGCCAAAGGGCGGGATCCAGCAAGTTTGCACTTGGTCTTCGGGTTCACTTCTTCCACCCCCACACCCCAGCGCAAAGCACGGACAACGGCGGCTATGTTGGGCTTGCACAGCGGCTCTACAGCCCGACCCCTGGCTCCCCCGCCTCCCGCAGCTCTCGCCTCGGAGCCCGAAATCACAACAATAGTAATAGTTATCATCATAATGATGCGGGCTAGCAGCGTCATTAATAATGAATAACCGCAGCCGCCGCGACGCTGCGCACACTCGTGCCCGGAATTGCGGGGGAAACGCATTTGCAGAGATCCCCCAAAGTAAAAAGTGTGAGCCTGGGGACACAGAATGAATTTCAGGGCCCGCGCTTGAGGTGTGTGTGAGGATACCGAGACTGCACCAGGTTAACCAACCGAGTTTTCCCAGCCTCACTTCCCATTTCTCCAACTGGCGGGGCCAGGGAACGGTTGTCACCTTGAGGCCGGGCTGGACCGCGGGTGGAGGCGGCAGTCGGGGCCCCTGGCTGCCCGTTGCCTCCCGGCCTGGCCCGGGCCCCACGGCCCGGCAGTCGCCGCTGCACGTGTTTGCAGCAAGCGCGGCCGGAGGCTGCAGCCAGCGAGCTGCTCGCTTTGTGCCTGAGTCCCGGCGCCCAACTTCACTTTCTGCAAAGCCCGCCCCCACCGGGCCCCGGGCCCCGGGCCTGTAGCCTTAGCCTTCGCTTTTGTTTCTTTGCTTTTCCTCTCTGCGTTTCTGACTCGGTTTGCTTCCTTACCCTGTTAAGACAATCAAAAGGAAGGACTTGGAAAGCAAAGTTGAAGGCATAGCTCCTTTTCCCCTCCCCCAACAGCCTTCCTTTCCCTCGCTTCTTCCCTACATTTCTTCTTGAGCTTTTTTTTTCTTCTTTAAATTTATTCCTTTGCAACTGCAGAGAGGAAGGAGATCTCAGTCAGCCGCTGGGGCATTGAGACGTTCCAGTCTGTCTTGCTGTTTGAACGCAGAAGCATTTTATTTTCTATTTTTCTCCTCTTGTAGAGAATTCGTGGCTAATTATTATGATTATTTGCCCACTCCCTTCCACTTCAATCCTGGACTCCCCGCTTTGTAGCGGGAGGTTTAGGCCGGAGCTTAGAAACGCTGGTATTGTGGGGGCGAAGGAGGATGGAGTTGAATTGAGGGAGGGGGTAAAATGGCTGAGGTTAGGAATGTTTTTAGGGAAAGAGGAATTTGCATTAAAATACAGAGAAATTAACAGATGCCCAGAAAGGAAATGTTGATTAGCACTGAGAAAAGATGTCAATGCAAATCAGTAGACTACACCAAGAGAATTGTATTTTCATATTTTCTTTGTGCCCCACTTCGTCTTATTTTTAATAATATAGCAGCAATAATAAACACGTTTTGATATTTCTCTGAACATTACTAGCCAAATGTTTTGCAAGAAGCCCGATGTTAGACGTATTTCATACATTAGGATATAATTCTTGTTAATTAGCAATAATTTACGTTAAGAGCATAGAAAATGTTGAGGTTACAGGTTTTATATCTGTACATTTGATCATCTTGTTATTTTCAAGAACTTTGCCTCCTATAAAATTAATTAGGTGAAATGTGGAGGTGTAATCAGCAACCTCTGAATTACCACTTCATTTCCTGGTTTTGATTGTAAATCAGTTCAGTCACTACATTTAGAAGACTTTAACCAAGTCTGTTTTGTACCGCATTACCTTTAACTATTTGCTACCTAGAAGAATATTTCCTTTTGCTCCTAACTAATATTTCCACTTTCAGAATATGTCAGGCCTTGGGGATGAAAAAACAAACAAACAAAAAAAATGAATCTTAATGGTGGAGTTTAAAAAATGTTTTTTGGTTTTTTTTTTTTTTTTTTTTTTTTTTTTTTTTTTTTTTTTTTTTTTTTTTTTTGCAAAGGTTCTACGTAGTACTAACTTTAATGAAACAAAATATTATTCCTGAATCTTTCTTTAATCTGTAACCCTCAGAACTTGCAGTTAATGCTGAACAACAACAACAAAAAGCCACATTTGTCAATGTATCCTTAAAAATCCTTAATTCAAATAGCAGGGATCTTGGAGAATGACTTCCCTATTCAGTGCCTCACTTGGTCAAAATGAAAGCAAATGTAGGAGAAAAATGACACAGAGGCATAATGCAAAAGCACTTCCATTTGTGTCATTTTATTTGAAAAGCATGCATGTGTTTTTTGTATTTATCTTTTGGTCAGTATGTTGGGCAAAGAAACATAAGTGCTTACCTTGCTGTCTTTATTAGTGGGAATATAACCTTCATATTCCTGTGGTGACCTTATGTTAAATTAGGAGGAGTACCAGAGGCTAGAAATTATGACATGTCCTACTTGAGCACAGGTGCAGCTAGGCAGGGCTCTCTCAATATTATTTCACCCAGCACATCTGGGAGTTACTCCAGATCTTCCCCCTCAATATTCAGCCTGGGTAGGGTTGAAATAAATTTAACCTGAGTTCACTGGATTTTTGCACTTTATCAAAATCGGTTCCAATATTCTACACTCAAATTAAAATCTATTTTTTGATTCTCTGTGGCTTTAAGTTCATTAAATGTGAAATTGGCAGCTTGCTAAAGAAGGTCAGACTGATTAACTGTTTAAGACTTGTACATTTTCTGCTTCAGTTTTATTAACTGGCAGCATCCTGGATGTGTTTTGTATTTTGTGATTTTTTTTTTTTTTTGATAGGGTAAGCATACAGTTTCAGGAGCAGATACTTACCAACTCTTTTTTCCCCTTTGGAAGGTTAAAAAATCATAGAAGCTGTTCAAATGAGACGCTAGAGTATTTTGGTACAAAGTTAAAAAAAAAAAAAGGAAACGGGAATGAAAGACATATCTACCTTGTTATACCATCCGCTGGTGATTATGTGTGTAGAAATAGTCCCATAATGAAGCGTTTTGGAGCTCATTCAGAAAATTAGTCAACTTTGACAACATTAGGCAAAGTATTTCAAGTCTAAAGAAAGGACTTCTCAGCCTTGTTCTGAGATGTGGCATTTGCTTGACCATTCTGATTTTTATGTGATGGGAGCCACCAAGTGCAAACATGTTTAGAATATTTTAGGCATTCCTTTCTTCAGAATGAAAAAATGACTAATTGGCTTATTTTCTTAAGTACTCAAAAGTATCCCATTTAGCTAATGTGTCTGGGAAGAATTGCCAGTGAATTTGGTATTTCTTTGATTTTGTGGCACTACTGAGAGTGAGATCAGAAAGGTTTTTGGCAGTATGAATTATGCTACGTTATGATTATTATTTAGATCCGTTTCACAGGTGAATGCAGTCGTTTGCTTATTATGGCGGTGTAAATGTGGCACATTTTGTGTGTGATATAGTAGCTTTCTAATTTACGAAGCTAAGTCTCTGTATACTTCGAAGTATATACACTGACACAAAGGGTGTGTGTGTTTATTTACCTCTTCTTTTATTCTTTGGCACAATAGACAACTTTGTAGGAAAAAAGAAAGAAATTTGGTTTCAATCCATGTTTTTACCAGTTTTGGGGGTAGTTATTATTTAAGCTTTCTTTATGTCACTTGTGTTAACTATTTACTTAACAGTCAACATTGTTTCTATACTCGAAAACCAGACAGAATTTATAGTGTGTGTGTGTGTGTGTGTGTGTGTGTGTGTGGTTTCTCAGGAGTTAATGCGAGTCAGATAGTTTTCCTTAAATATATGATGATTTGCCTCATTGATAAATTTGCTTTCTTGTTGATAACCTCCATATCCTTAGATGTTTTAGGTGCTCACATTTTCTGGGTATTATATGAAGGAGGCTAGAAACACTTTATATAATGTGGTGGGATGGGGTGGGGTTGAGAATGTATTTCCCCTTTCTCTCTTCTCTGGTGCTCTAATAATTGTGCTTTTGTTTCTCCAACCACAGCCGAACCTCTTGAAGCCATTCTTACAGATGATGAACCAGACCACGGCCCTTTGGGAGCTCCAGAAGGGGACCATGACCTCCTCACGTGTGGGCAGTGCCAGATGAACTTCCCATTGGGGGACATTCTTATTTTTATCGAGCACAAACGGAAACAATGCAATGGCAGCCTCTGCTTAGAAAAAGCTGTGGATAAGCCACCTTCCCCTTCACCAATCGAGATGAAAAAAGCATCCAATCCCGTGGAGGTTGGCATCCAGGTCACGCCAGAGGATGACGATTGTTTATCAACGTCATCTAGAGGAATTTGCCCCAAACAGGAACACATAGCAGGTAAATGAGAAGCAAGGAGAAAAGCTGTTTGCATGTTTTCTTTTCATTTTCAGAGGTGCTGTAGCCAAGCACTCAGGAGTGGTGAAGAGCTTTCTGTATTTCTCCATGTGACTGTCCACGACAGCCCTGTAATGTTAAAACAATCATTCCTATTGCTTACGTCCAGAACACAAAAAAAATAAATATTTTCCACTTCACTGAGTCAGATATAGGTGGAATAGGTACACACACCTGATACCCTCTCTCTGGATCTGTTGATGCTGAATTTCTTTCCTTTTTTTCTCCCCTTCTCATTTTTAAGTGTTGAACCTTACTATACCTGGCCCTGTTTCCAATGTCCATTTCCAGCCATGGTGACAAGTCAGAGGCGAAGTGGCCATACAGGCATTTTGTAGTTTGGCCAATGACCTGTTTGAGTCAGAATACCTGGTCAGACCTCCCTAGGGGTGCTGTTAGTTCTCAAGGCTTCTGCGAAGGAGGGTGGGCTGACAGGGCGTTTGGGACTGGGTAGAAAGAGTTAACTGAGCTTCAGGGCTCGCCTTGGATCCATATTGGCTGTCAGCCCGTATGGGGCTGTAATTAAACACAGCCCCGTGGTGGGATGACACCGTGACCTTGACTTTAAGATGCCATTTTCGACTGGCCAGGCCAGAGTAGAGAGGGCAGTTGCTGAAGCGCACAGACATGCTTACTCGAAAAGTTTAAGGGCATGTTGGAAATTTCAAAAGGTTGGTTTGACAGGAACGGCTGCTCCCTGCAGCCTGCCTCCTCAGCTAAATGATAAATGCTTCTCTGTGCTCTCTCTTGTCTCTGATGTGGTTTTGACAGATGTATCTTGATTTTGTTTGTGGTTTACACAACCACATGTCACCCTTACAAATGTCCAGTCCAGACTTCCACTGTTTCAGCTATAACACAATGTAAAAATTCTCTTGGAAAAATACACACACATATTCAACAGCTCTCCTTCCTTTGGTTAATTTTAGCAGAGAGGTAGTTAGGTGTGTGGGTTTCTCAGCAGCTCATGGGAAAAGGAATTAACGGCTAGCAGAGGGACTTAAATCCTTACCCTAAGTGATAAGCAGCAACACTATATAGTGACCCTTAAGACATTTTTTTGTGAAACCAGAGTGATTTAACACACAAGACAAAGTGAATGCAGAGTCTATGGTGACAAAAATGCTAAGCCTGCTGGTGGTTCCCTTTCTTCTATTTCCCCCTGCCCCCTCCCCCAAAAGGCAGAAGGTTTATTCAGTTTTAGGAAAGATAGTGCATATAATCAATTGATTCACTGGAACTTGTCTTTCTGACCTCGTTTGACCACAAAGTTGAACTGTAGTAGGTCAGTGGTCCAGAGGGAATTAAATGTCGTATTATTTTTTCTTCCCGCCCCCTCTGGAATTTGATCATTAAAATCAAACGTGGCATTTTCTTTCTTTCTTTCTTTTTTTTCCCCCATGCTTCCTGCAATAACACTCAGATACTTTTCCTTTAGTGAAAAGAGAAATCTGTACCAGGGAAGCTGCATTTACAAAATATTTTTCTAGAATTCACCGCATTTAGCTTATGTGACATGTAGGTTAACATTTTATCCCCCCCACCACACACACAAGTGGGCAATGGCAGTGACCATTTCCATGTGCTGTCTTGTGACTGGAAGGAAAATGTAAGGCATGATTAATGAAGCAAGAGCAAGCGGAAGGGGATTTGTCGTCTTCGGAGATCCAAAGCCTTTCTAAATCACCAAATATGGAGTAACACTTGCGTGATGTAACATCGTATTTACATATCGGGCCGCTCGTTTAAAAGACAAAACACAGTGTCTGTCAAGCAGGAATTAAAACCACACTTCTTACTGAGGTCCCAAATAGGTTATTCACTCTCGGATTAACCAGCTCCAAAATTCTGTGCTTCTGTACTTAGAAGAGGAATCTAAAAGCTAGGGGGGTGGGGGGGGAAGGCACTATAGTGATAGCTTTTTACTATTATAGTTGTGAATGTACATAGAGAAAGAAAAGATATTTTCCTTAACTTCTGGTTGTCATAAAGGTTTTTTGTTTCTAAGACCCAGTATAATAGCAGAGCCCAGAGAAGCACCCCCTCCCGGCCCTGCCAAAAACAAAACACAAAAGAAAGAAAAAAGAAAAGAAAGCAAATTTAAAAGATGTTTTATAGGGCTAATACTAAATAATTTCACTGAGATGAAAAGCGTTATAAGGTATCTAAGATATTCAATGGGTGCACAAATGTAGCAACCCAGGTGAGGTAAACCTTTCATGCACAAATAATTACAAAGCCTTGATTCATTTCATTGTGTTTAATCACCTGTTCCCACCCTGGAATTGGCTGGACATAAATAGCGTGGTCACATCTCAAAGCGAGATGTCAGTAACTAGAATCATGACTTCTCATAATTCACAGTAATGAATTAAGAGTTTCCTATGGTGAAATTAACATTCTACCATCGCACATAAATTAAGATGCCCTGGCCCTCAGGTGTCTCTGAAGGGAAGTTCTGGAAGACGGCTGTGCACACTACCAGCCCATTTCTCTCAAGCACGCCTTTACAATTCCAAGTCTGCTTTTCTTTTTATGGCGAGGAAGGAAACAAAAAGAATAATCATCCAGTAGATATTTGAATTGTGGTGTCACAAAAAGAAAGGCGAAGCAATGCTCCATATTAGTAGAGAGATCTATTGATGAATCTCTAGAAGAATATGTTTGGCAACCACATAAAAGGTAGTCATTTAAGTGCACTGTGTAGGAAAGGCTTTATTAAAGTGATGTAAGTTGGATTTGAGCTCCCTGTGTGTTCTGTGCCATTTTATAGGCAGGAAGCAGGAATAAAACAGTGACAGATTTTCTTGAGATAAATAAAGCTTAGCATTGGGGGCTTTCAAATAGGAGAATAAGGTAGCGTTCTTTAAGTCTTCAGTAAAGTGATCTGCATTTTGGCTGGACATAGGCCACACGAAGAGGAGTGTGGTTTGGAAAGGGTGATTCTTTTTACCTGGCGTATAGATGGTTACGAGCTTCAGCACTTCACCCATGTACATGTGTGTGTTGATCAGGTTGCTTTTTTCATTTCATTCACATATTCAAAATACTGTGTGGCTGTGATCCAGTGAAACCATTGACATAGTACGAATTTAACTGGAAATGAGCAGGTCATATTGTGTGGGGCCCAGTGCATCTATTTCTATGTCAGATACTCACCATCAGATGTCAGCAGCCTGTGACTGGCAGTCAGGGTTTTTAACAGGGCTGTTGCTGTGTTTTGTAGTCTCATCTTTTATGATGGGGGAAATATTCATCAGAGATTAGTGAATGTGAAACTGCTGTTCACTTACAGAAAAGGCCAAAAATATTATCCCACAATGTCAGATTTGAGATTTTGGCTTATGACACATGGAAATCTTTAAATTAGGGTTGGGCTGTCGTGAAGTTAGCTTTTTAAGAGAATGGGGGAGAATAGGACCAGTCTTATAAAATGTACTCAGATCTACTACTATTGATACATAATATTTTTTCTCCTTAAAATCGTGAACATAGACGTCCATATCAGGATATTTAAAAATTAATTTGCTTAGGCAATGTACTTCGTAACTAGATAAAAATATATAAGACAGTTACTCTAATGGAGGGGGAAATACTAATTCAAAAACAAACATGTCAGCATGTTACTTAAAGGTAAATCAAGTATAATATACTTAACGCTTTTCGGAACTTAGCAAATCAACTTGCCTTTTCTTTTTGTACCCATTCTAATTCTTTCCTAACTCAGCATGAATTGGGGATGTATTTGTGTACTTCATGGTATAATTGTAAATGAGACTATAAATTATAGTATCCTAATATGACTACTTATTTTTAATTTCTCTTTATTTGTGTGATTCTGAATAAAAACCACTGACTTCTGAAGTGAATTTTTAGCATGGCAGCTGAAAAAGAAAACAACAAACAAACAAACAAAACCCCAATATACTGGTGAACATTTTATTTACCTTCAGTATGCAGAGAATAGAGAATATTGTTTCCTTATATATATCTAGGATTTTCACTGGGAGCCTGTGTTTGTGAGGCCACTACCCAAAGACTCATGTTCATGAGTCTGGGAGTCCTATATACAAGCTGTATTTGTAAATAAGACCAAGAAAGGTTGTGAACTGGCAGCTTGGATGTTTTGTCAAAGTACAATGTCAGAGAAACTCTCTCTAAGACAAATTGTAAATAGAACTGTCACAGTGATTGCATGATTGAGCCACAGAAGTGTCTTACAATTGTTGGCATTGTCAGAGGACTTTTGAAAGCTTAATTAAACACAGTGGCCCGCATGGCTGCTAAATTTACTTCGGAAAGCCAAAAAGGAAAAAAAAAAGTCTAAAATGTGGAAGATTCCCAAAGATCTCAAAGTTCTTCAGACATTACCCTTCCGGTGACACAGAAAAGATGCATTGTGCATTTTCCTAGTTGTCTTTTATAAATAATAGTTTTGAGAATAGGGCCACGTGATATGAAGATCATCCTGTGTGTGATGTGGAGATTGTGTTAGTTTTTCTGTCTCCTGCTGTTACAGACAGTTAATGTAAAAATGGCCTTTTATTGGAAACACAAATATGTATTCACTTCAAGAACAGGAGCAGAGGGGGAAAGTTTCCCTCCCATTCTCTGTGTTCATTCTGTGAGATCTTAAAAAAAACAGTGCTGTAATTTCTTAAATCACTCCATCCTTGTATTGCAAGTTGTGCCTTTTACGTTAAAGGATCTGAAATCTGTTTTGCACACCTTTCTCCTCGTGCATGTGGCATTTAATTGTGGAGCTGCCCATGGGCTGGAAAATGCAACTGGGTGTAGAAACGTGCAGGCAATGTCAGGACAGCGAACCTTAAGCTCAGGGAAGAGGAGAGTTGGATGCATATTAATGGCACATTTTCAAGTCCTGGAAAATCATTAATTTCACACCACAGCCCCCATGTAGTTTGGCTAATGTGGGAGGACTA